TAAACAAACAAATAAATTTTTAAAAATAAATAAAATAAAATTAGGGACTGGCAAGATAGACCAGACTAAAACCCCTGATTAGGCAGATTCAGGCAAACGCAGGGACTGTGGTTCAATCCCTGGCACCACAGGCTGTGCCAGCCCGACCCCCAGGCTGGGCTGAGCATGCCAGAGTCCAGGGCATGGTGGCACTAGCCAGTAATCCCAGCACTGGGGAGGCGGAAGGCAGGAGGATCACTATGAGTCTGAGCTGGGTAGTGAGACTCTGGAACAACCAAATACATTTTAAAAAATTAAAACAAAAAACATATATTAAAAAAGTACTAGTGGCAACACATCCAGGTGTAGAATTTACTGATGTGCATGTTTATTTTACTTCCTTCTGGAGCTATATTATTCAGTTATATCACTATCACATTTATTCTAGGAATAAATAGATTTTAAGCAAGATTTTTATATATCTGCAACAAAGTTATAGCTTTCCATATAAAATGGTGATGAGGGCAGAACATTAAAGATTAATTTTTAAAACAGAACTTCAAAGTAGGAAACGCAGGAAAGAAACCTTCAAAGTACAATTACTATCTGCATATTTCCTTAAAAAGAATTATGCAAACACAAACAATTTAGGAAATTTAAGATGAATGCAGAATCCTGAATTGGGATAAGTAGATTTCACTACCACAGAAAGACAGGAGAATGGCTAGGAAGGCATTAACAACATCGAAAAGGGTTAGAGGGCCAGTCAAATAGTTCAGTGGATTAAAATGCCTGCAAGCAGGCTCAAGGGCTGGGGGTTCGATCCCTGGGCCTGCCATGCTGGCCGCGTCCCCCGGACGCGCTGAGATGACAACTGAGACTGGGCATAGTGGCGTGCGCCTGTAATCCCAGCTCTTGGGAGGCTGTAAACAGGTGGATCTACTACTACTATGAGTCCAATCTAGTAGTGAGACCCTGGACACCCTCTAGAACCTTACCTAAAATATATTTTTTTAAAGGGGGTTCTAGATTTAAACCGAATGTTATTGCGAGTTGATTTGAAATGTTCTCTCCTGGTGAAGCATCTTGCGTGGGAGCCAGAGATCGCATGCTGTTAACTAGAAAATACTGTTTGGAGTTTCTCAAATGTTCACATAACCACACCCAACAGATTTCTGTTGGCCCAGATGACCTACCGTGCTGCTCTTCTTTCTTGAACGAATGCTTCCACTCTAGGGCAGCTGAATGGGTACAGCTCTACACTAGAAAAAACTGGAGGCCACCACTAAGATTCGGGTCCTGGCGTTGCCATGGCCACCACGGACGTGCGCAGTCTGTGCTGATGAGACAGGACAGCTGGGCGGTGTGCGGCGCCGCAGCACGTGGAAGTCTCCAGCAAAGGAAAGAACAGTCACACGAATGACTCAGGACCGGACACGCCCCCCACAGCCTCGTGTGGGCCTCGGCGGGGCCTTTCCAGAGGTGGCTGGGTCTGGCGTGGGTGACGCTGGGACTGATTCCCAGAGGAGTGCTAGGCTCAAGGGTGCTGAGTACTGCCTGCCCTGAGAAGCCCCCGTAAGACGGAAGGGACAGAGAGCCCCTGCCAAGCTCCCTCGCTTGTTGCCCTTGCTGCTTCTGCCCACCGTGAACTGTTCCAGCAAGGAGAAAAGTAACTGAGACAAGAGGAAAGGAAGACTGAAGACGTCGTAGTACAGTAGCGCCCACCCCCACCCCCGCACACCCACGTTCGCAGCAGCACAGTTCACAAGCTACGGGCCTGCCCCAGGTGGACACATAAAATATACTGAGGCTGGGCCTGGTGGTGCACGGCTATAACCTCAGCATCCAGTAGGCTGAGGCAGGAGAACCCCCATCCATATGAGCTCAAGCTAGCCTGGACTACGTAATGAGACCCTGGGTCAAAGAAGAATGAGGAGAAAAATGAAGAGGAGGAGGAGGGGTATGGGGAGGAGAGGGGAAGAAGGGGTAGAAGGAGGAGGAGGAGGGAAGAGGAGAAGGAGGAGGCGGAAGGGGAAGGGGAGGAAGAGAGGGAGAGGGGGGGGAGGAGGGGAGAAGGGGAAGGTGGAGAGGAGAGGAGGGGAGAAGTGAGGGGAGGGGAGAAGCGGGGGAGAGGAGGGAAAATGCATTAACACAGCAGCGGAGCGCTGCTGCATGGTGAACTTGTGCCGTTTGTGAGAAAGTGGAGGAACCTTGAGGTGATAACGTTTAGTGAAATAAATCAGCCACAGAAGCCTAAATAGCACATAGTTTCTCTTATATGCACAACCCAAATTATAAAGAGCAAAAGAAAAGGCGGACACAAGAGCCTCCTGAACGGCGGCCGTTCTGCGGGATAGGTGAAGGGCCTGCCTTGTGCTGAGAGGACGGTGAGCCGCCGCCCACGGAGGACCGTCACGCAACGCACACAGGGAGTCTCAGTAAATCTCACCCCAGTTAGGGACCTTGGAGGCGATAGCAATTATTCCTCCTGAACAGGCAGGAAAAATGACCTATAAGCTAGAACTATGTGACTGGACTCTAACTAGGATGATGTTTTTTAAAGGAGGAGATTTTTTTTTTTAAGTGCTTGTTTATTTTTTATTTATTTATTATTTATTTATTTATTTATTTATTTTTGCGGAACCGGGGATTGAACTCAGGTCCTCGGGCCTGCCAGGGAATTGCTTACTACACTGAGCCATTTCCCTGGCCCCAAAAGTGCTTGTTTATAAGGAAAGCAAAAATGCTGTCTGTCCTGAAGGAGAGAGAGAGCAGGAAAGTGAAATCGCGGGCGGAACTGCTCGCTGCAGGGGCGCCCCTGCTCCTCCACTGCTTGCTGTTCCTTTCTGGCTGCACTCCGCCCTTGGGCTCAGCCCCCTCGCGGAAGTGAGCAGGAAACCTCAGCAATCACGCGGGCGCCAGAATTTTGCCTCCGCAGAGAGACGACAGCGAAGATGTCAGCAGGATCATGAGGAAGACAAAGACGTGAACAGCAGAGGGGGGCTTGGAGCAGAGGAGCACGGAAGGACTTCTCGGAAACGGAGAGGGAGGAGACAGACGCGGTGTCCGGGGCTGCTGGGGTCGAGAGCTGAAGGACCTTGACCTCTTCACCTTGACGTGGAGCAATGTGCGCAGTTTTCTGAAAATATTCTCAAAGGGGCCGCTACGGCACCCTCCACGTGGTCAGTGCCGGTGACAGTGGGGTGCTTCCTAAGCCACACTGGGGTTTCAACCTAGACACCCTGGGACCAAGCTGTCAGAACAGGCTCCTCACTACTGAGTGCAAGCAAAATTTTCTCCTTAAGTGTGAACCTTTACTATAAAGGAGTGACAAAGTTTTGTCTTATTTATTCATTTACTTGGACCAGGGATTGAATTCAGGACCTTGTGCTTGCCAGGAAAGCATTTATGCCACGGAGCTATATCCCCCACCCTTGTCTTTCATTTGTGGTGCTGAGGATATTTATTTATTTATTTATTTATTTATTTATTTATTTGAGACAGGGTCTCACCTGCAGTTCAGGCTGGCCTTGAGCTCACTTTGTAGCCAGGCTGGTCTCAGACTTGTAAAGATCCTCCTGCCTCAGCCTCCCGAGTGCTCCGCCATGTCCGGCCTCAGGCTGACTTTTTAATGTCATTTATTTATTTATATAATTACCTTCACTTTATGTAAAAGCTTTATTTGTATCCAATTGTCACAGGAGAGGAAATGAGGGTACATATTTTTCATCCTCCCCTTATTTCATAGAGCTACAGCAGGAGATGCCTTTGGTGGTACAAAACTGGGCCCTCACAGTCTTAAGTGTGTACTAGACAGAAGAGAAATCTACTTTTATATTCTTTTAGCTTTGACTGATCTGAATAGAACACTCAGGCTGCACTCAGCAGGGATTGTCTCCTCCGTTTTGTTATTTAATGCACTATATGTTTGGAGTATAGCTAGAACTCCCGGCTCCTCATCCAGGGAGGGGCGGGCCAGCCCCAGAGCAGGGAATGGATGGAGTACAGGCGTGCCTGGCATGGAGCAGGTGTTGTCAGGTGACAGGCGGGGGGGGGGCAGGTCCAGAGAGCTGCACCCCACCCTGCCGCTATAGCCTACTATCCTCCAGTCGCCCCCTACCCAGCTGCTCAGGGGCTGGGCTGGCTGTGCCCTTGGAGTGGATCCGGATTCGAGAGGGCCCGTGGGCTGTGCCCAGGGTATAAGGCCCAGCTGGCGATTGGCAGCCCCATCGCAGGCTGTCCTGGCCAGGGCCCACAGAGCCTAGCCCCTGCTCGGGAGGAGAGAGGCCACATGTCCCCCAAGCCCTCTGACCCGATGCCCCTTACTGCGCCTTTCCCTGACTCACACTGGCCTGTCTGCAGGGCCCTCCAGGTGGGTGCCCTTTTCCAGGACAGAGACCCAAAAGAGGGGCTGGTGGCATGGGAGATCCCCCACTCAAAAGCCTCCTTCCATCTACCCGTTTTAGAAAACAGTTTGCAATGGTTTCTCCCTATGTCATTAAATTGCCCTGGGTGGCCATGAATTTCACATCCTCCTGCCTCAGCCTCCCAGAATGCTTAAATTACAGGCTCCAGCCACAGTGCCCAGGTTCCTCCTTCCCTCCTTCTTTCCCTCCCTCCTCTCCCTTCCTTCCTTCTTTCTCTGTTTTCTTTTTTTTTCTTCCTCTCTCCCCCTTCCTTTTTTCTTCCTTTCCTTCCCTCCGTCCCTCCCTCCCTTCCTCCCTCCTCTTGCTTCCTTCCTTCCTTCCTTCTCCTTTCTCTGCTTTCTTTCTTCCTCTCTCCCCCTTCCTTTTTTCTTCCTTTCCTTCCCAACGTCCCTTCCTCCCTCCCTTCTTCCCTTCTCAGTGGAACCCTCCGACAGCCACACCACTGAGCTCCTCCCCACAAGCCTTCTGTGGCCTCCTTCATCCGAGGAGCCCGCGCCCGCATGCTTCTTCCCCAGCACCGAGCCTCCCTCACCGCTGTGCCCATCCTGCGACCCTTACAGGCCTTTAAGGATTCAGAGGAGCGACTGCGGTGCAATGCGGAGGAGACCCGGCGAGGCCTGGGGGCCTGTCCCTGGCAGCGTGACCAGTGTCTCTCAGGAGGTACGGTGGCAGCAGCTCCGCCAGGTCCCAGACTTCTGCCGGGAGCGGTTTGCACGGAGCATTCTCCTGGGCATATGTGGGATAGCAATTGGAAATTTTATTTCTTTTAATAAATGGAGTTAGCTTCCTTCCAAATCCCAAAGCTTTGCTCATTGCTAATGGATTTTGTTAAAAATGTTGGCAAACCAGGAAATGCCCACCTTTTTGTTTTCTTGCAGGTATTTTGTTAAAAGCTTGATAAGATAAATGGGACACCAGAATATTCTAACTCCCCACCCTTGGGAAATCTGCACCCTTGTGACTTCCGCTTTGGCTCAGGAAACCTGCAATCCTGTCACTTTCTTCCCACGAATAGTAGAGCTCTTAGCATCTCCCTTTCCTGTTTTAACGGAAAGCTATTTCCCTCGTGCTAGTGTCCCGGGATTGCAAATCAGGAAGAAGCTCACCAGCGGGGACGGCCTAGGCACATGCCGCAGACCTCCCCCATCACTGGGTCAGAACCCGCAGGCCTTGTCCTGGGAGCAGGATGCTAGGTAGGGTTTCTGCTCTGAGCCTCACCCTCAGCTGTCACTTGTTCAGCTTCTCTGGGTGATTCTTGTGCAGAAATTGGGCCTCGTATAGATTATCCCAGAGAGCAGAAAATTATGCATTTGGTTTATCAAAAGCCTCCAGAGAAAGGTAATTGGCAGCCTCCTTTCTGCGTCCGAATATCATTCCTCTCTACGGCTAAATTAAATCCTTGTGTGGTTCTGCAGCCTGTTCCTTCCTCTTGGGCCTTAGTGTAGAGATCCTGCCCAGTTATACCCAATGCTACAGTGGCTTAGAGATTTATTTACAGAGGTCTGTTCTCATGTGAGGTGGAAAATAACCGAGCTGATTTTTTAAAAAGGTACTATCTTCCAAATAATCGCCTTAGCACTTTCTTTTGTCCAGAGAAATGATTGCAGGCGTCCCCTGCTTATGGCCCACGGCACGGAACAAATCCTCGGCATTTATTGCACCCACTCCTTGTGGTTTTACGCTCCCTTTTGACCATTTCCTGAGTATGTCAATCTAGGATGAGTGGTGGGCCGGTCAATGCTGAATATCATGCAAGGATTAGAGATTTACCTCGGTTGGAAAGATTTTTAGGCTTTTAGATCTGGTCCTCAGCTAGAGAAAACCTAATGACTCCCCCCCACCATCCCAACGCCCCACCCCTCACCCGCGTTCCAGGGACACACCAAACAGGACACTCTGTTCTATTTTAAAATCAATTTTAAAAACCTGACAGTCATTATTTTCAACAAAATGGGAAGGAGAAGTTGTTACTGCGAACGGCTTTCCTTCTTTTTTAAACTGTGTTTAGTACAAGGTCTACAGGGCCTTACTCTGTAGATCGGACTCGGAGTGATCCTCCTGTTTTCAGCCTCCCAAGCGCTGGGATTACAGCGCACCACCAAGCCCAGTCCCATTCGCCCTCTAACCCTGCCCTGGGGGCGGGGCCGGCATGGCGCGGCAGGAATAGAACCCGTGCTGCTGCAGCTGCCTGTGCAGGCGCCTTAATCCGCTGAGCCACCTGGCCAGCCCTGCGCATCTCCTGAGTGGCAGGTGTGACTACGCTGGGGGTGGATTGGTAAGAGAAAACTGCCTTCCTCCAAAACACTGACCTGTCCTTGCAGATGACCGACTGGTCACCGAGGTTTGGATATTTTGTCTGCCTTTACCCACAGCACATGTAGAATTGTATATTTGAGCTTTCATTTTTTTTTATATAAGTTTATTTTAAAACTATTGTTTCAGAATTTATGTTACTGGAATTTGGATTCAGAGGCGCCGGCTCCTGAGAATAGAAACCTCCCACGCAGAAGGAACGGCGCGGCCGGTGGTAAGAAATCTTGGACGTGTGCACTTCCGCGGGGATGAGGCCGGCTCTGCAGGGTTTTAAGTACCTGCTTTATGTAACTATTAATCACCATTTTTCATTCACATTCTTTCAGGCAAAATTGAAGAGGTAAGGATGTTTGGCCTTACATAAGTCACAAACCGGTTTGGAAGTTAGATACATGTTCTTTAAATATTTATTGCCAACTTAAAATTGTATTTCTGTAGAGTTCATCAAATAAATCAAAGCCATTATTATTTTACAAGACTAAGCATTGGTCGTATTTTACTTTGTTACATTATTATTCCCATATAACAGTACAATGATGCAAATTTACATTGTAGAAAACATAGTATTTTCTAATCATTGTTGAAAGGAAAGTAGTCACAGTCCTTAATATGTCACGTACAAGCCAGGAGTGGTGGCCCACACCTGTAATCCTAGCATTCCAGAGGCTGAGGCAGGAGGATTGTTGTGAATTTGAAAACAGCCTGGGCTACAAAGTGAACTCAAGACCAGCCTAAACTGCAGAGTGAAGCCCTATCTTCCAAAAGAAAAAAAAAATCTTGAAGTATGCCTTAATATGCCAATTTTTTATTTTTTTTCTTTTCTTTTCTTTTCTTTTTTTTTTTTTTTTTTTTGAGGCTAGTTCTCACTATGCTGTTCAGGCTGGTCTTGAGCTCACTTTATAGCCCAGGCTGGTCTTGAACTTGCAGTGATCCTCCTGCCTCAGCTTCCCCAGTGCTGGGATTACAGGGATGGCCACCAGAGCCTGGCAACCTATTTTTTTTTTATCAATATATTAAACTCAACTATAAAATAAAGGTAGTTTTAATGATATCTACCCGAGGTTCAGTAGCTAACTGTGTTTAGTTGGTATTAGTAATAGAACAAGCTAGTTTCTGCTGAAAGCAATAGAAAATTATTCTTATATGCCTAAGGAGAGTACATTGTACTTTATTATGTATTCCTCAGTTAGGACAAGAGCTATACGTTCTTAGAGCACGAGCAGGGGCCAGAGATGGGTCTCAACATCCTCTGCTGCTTTGTAGAACCGTCTGGAGGTTCCGGTTGCGCAGCTGATGCTAGAACTGAGTCTGTCAGCGCGCCCTCCCCCGAAAGCACAGGTGAGGTCTTATGTGCCAGATTCAAAGTACCGTTTTCTTTAAAAAATTCACCCTATTACTAAAACATTGTCCATGATTTTTCTATTATTAGAGTAACAAACAAGGGGTGTTCCAGTTATGGAGTTATCCCTTTAATGATGAATTTGGTGAGCAGCACAGGTGAGAATTTCTTTTGTAATTCTTTAAATTATTGAAATAAAGCTCAATGGATGTGAGTTAATAACTTGAAATACAAGAACTGGCTGTGGGGCTGGGGAGATGGCTCAGTAGCATAAGCGCTTCCCTGGCAAGCTCAAGGGCCTGAGTTCAATCCCTGGGTCCTCAAAAAAAAAAAAAAAAAAAAAAAAAAAGAACCGGCTGTGGAGCACAGTGGCAAAGGTGCCTGCCTGGCAAGTGCAAGGTCCTGAGTTTGATCTCCAGTACCAAAAGAAAGAAAAAAATACAAGGACCAAAAAATAACCAGCTGCAACAAGCGCACTGCATGTGAATAGCAGAACATTGCACAAAGTCACCCTAAAGCAAGAAGTGGCTACAGCCACAGAGAGCCACATACAGCTGAGTGCGCAGGGCTGCCTGGGCCTCACACAGAAGGCTTGGGCAGGTAGCACCACCTGCTCGTTGGAGGGCAAAGGACATTCTAATGTTTAACTTCAAAAATTTATTACAGGGGCCAGCCAGATAGCTCAGCAGACTACGTGCCTGCTTAGGCAGATGCAGGGGCTGTTGGTTCCATCCCTGGGCCTGCTGTGCCGGCTGTGCCCCTGGGGCGTGCTTAGAGGGTAATCGAGACTGGGCATGCCTGTGGTCTCAGCGCTTGGGAGGCTGAAAACAGGAGAATCACTCCAAGTCTGATCTGTGTAGTGAGACCCTGTAGACCCTGTACACCCTTGTCCTAAATTCATAAAAAAATTAAAAAATAAAAATTTATTATAATAAAAGACACATTGTTATCCGTCCTCTTCCAGAGAGCATCCTTGTGTCAAACACACTGATCTCATTGCTCTCGCAGCTGTCTGAAGCAGTTCGCAAAGTCTTCTTTCAGATCTTCAGTACTACAAGGAATGCCACAGCCTGATGCCACCCAGGGAAGAGCAGTCTCCTGAACACCTTACAGCCTGTCCTCAGCCATCTTATTCAACAGCTGTGGCACCACACAATTCTGACTCTCCCCCAAAATCACAATGACCGTGAAAGGTGAATGTTCTGAATCAGTTCAGGACACTCAGGAAGCACAGCCACGCAACTAAAGACATGCCCAAGAGAGGACGTCCAGAACTGCTGCAGAAAGCAGCAGGAGTGGGGGACAGATGTGAGAAGTCAGCAGGGGCCAGGCGATGAATGACAATGTGTCTTTTACCTCAATTTCTTTTTTAAAACATGTGTTTGGTTGTTACCGGGTTTCACCACAGAGCTCTGGCTTGTGGTGCTCCCCCTGCTTTCAGCCTCCCCAGTGCTGGGGGATGGAACCGAAGTCCCTGCACTTTCCTAAGCAGGTGCTTTGGTCCACTGAGCTATCTTGCTGGTCCCCGCAATAATTTTCTTAAATTTTCACTGTGTTTTCCAATCCCACCACATAGTAGGAAAGTGGTACTTCATGAGCCAGGAACCACTTTAATTCCTCTGTGTATGAACACATCTCTCTTGCCAATCTTACAGCGTAAGTACCATTGTCAGTATCCAGTCTGTCTCACAGAGGAGGAATCCATGATATGGACAATCAAGTAACTTGCCAAAAGTCACAGTGGATGTACAGCTGGGATGCAAAAGTAGCTTGGTTCATGCTCACAGCAGTCTATTGCTTCTTGAACCTTCACTGGGGTTGGAGTCTCATTTTTTGGTTCTTAAATATCAGTTATACATTAGAACCAGCTAAACTGTTTAAAGATGCAGGTTACTGGTACTCAGAAATTACTTTTTATTGAACACTGTTTTGTGTCCATTTTACAGTGTCTGAGTCCGCGGACATCCTGTGTTCCCTTCCTTCCTTTTCAACCGAGTGGTTCACTTGCTAGCAGCAGTCTCTGGCCAGAGGATTTTCCTCCACAAGGCCCAGAATAAAGCTGCCTTTAAGGGGAAGTGCTAAAGGCAATTGTGGTGAGCCATGTCCTCAGGGGGTGTTGGTGCTGGTGGAGACTGGAAAGCCTGTTCTGTGAGAAAAAAACTGCTGCAAACAAGGATTTTAGGGAAAGAGGTCAGAGGAAGTGGGCTGAACTCTATCCTGGGTCGGGAGGCACATGCCTCCACTGTGGCTGCCAAGGGGGGCAATTGGGTCACAGCCACAGGATCCCCACCACTGCATTCATGTCCTGGCCGCCACTTACTGGGTTTGCAACCTCAGCAACTCGGTGTCCTTAAAAAGAGGAACACCTGAGAACCTGTCTCCTGGGGGCTGCTGTGAAGGCCAGGCGACTGCGCTGACAGGAATTCACCGTTCACAGGCTGGCTTTCCCGGTGGCACGCACTGGGAAGTTAGGAATCTGGGAGATATTTTATTAAAAATGTTCCCCTCCATACATGGGATATGTCCATAATTAATACCACAAGAGAGCGAAAGCCACGCTAACTGTCCCTCTGCGCTCAACATCTCACTGGGTGCCTGCAGGTGACACTGTCCCACTTCTCTGACTCCCAAGTGGGCCGACCAGTGCTAGTCCACTGACTCAGTGGTGGCAGAGGAGTCAAACCCAAGCCTTCTACCTCCAGATTTCATGCTGTTTACCTCCCAGGCGATGTCTCTTAAAAATTGTACATTTTTACATGAGTTCAATCCCTGGTTCCGCAAAAAAAAAAAAAAAAAAAAAAATGTACATTTT